CAGCTTTGGCCCTTGTGCCACCATACATCCCTCTGGGATTGTTACATAATGGAGGCCCTGGCTGGTCTGCCATTCACGAATGCTGGAAGTGGGCAGAATGTGGGGCATGCGTCCAGCATCATGGCTCCCAAACGCAGGCAGGACAGTGTCCTCAGTTCTCTGACAGACCCAACCTGTGGGTGGCTTATACATGCTATAATAAACACAGCTTACAACATTAAAAAAAACTACCTACTAACCTAATGAAATAAATGTACAGAAACTAAGGCATAGATATTTTATCTAGCCATAGCTCTGAGGTTACTGGTATGCTACAAAGATGGGATTCAAAAATAAAGAGCTAAATCTATGCTTATAACAAATTGTTACAAAATAACTAAATTCTTTTGTCCTCAGTCATATTAAAAAAAAAAAAGGAACATTCTTAACCAAGTACAATAGGTTTCCTACAAGTCTCCGTGACTCTTCTTAAAAGTAATTTAAAATGACAATAAGCTTCCATGACTATAAATTATTCAAGACATCTATGTCATTGTTTAGTAATTCATGGCACCCAAAACACAGCCTTAACATGTCCTACCTGGTTCTGATGGAAGGAGGGCTGAGACTGCCCATCAGGAGCCTGGCCTTGGATGTCATTCCCTCCTATTGGAGAGCCACGAGTTGTGGCTGTCATACTTGACACAGAACGGACCTTTGCTATTTTGTCTGCTTATGTAGTGGTTGTAACAGAAGAAATTATAGTACACTTAAAGGAGATAAAGTACCAGCATATGTCAGTCTTAAAAATTTCCAATTCAAGGACAGACCATCTTGCAGAGACCATCTCATAACCTAAAAGTAAAAGGAAAAAAAGGCATATTTGTTTTAAATATTAAAAAGACAATCATTCCAATTTTAATGTGTATCGTGGTAACATCACCGCTCTCTATAGTCATTAACAAATGGCTTTCCTCATTAACAGATGGTTTTAACAGAAACAAGTGAAAAGGTAAATTCTTATTAATACTGCTACTCAAACTACTAAATTCCTATTTTTGTAGCAATAGGTAAGTAATTATAACAAGAAAATATAAAAAGTACAGTGTTAACATTATACCTAGTACCCCTGAAAAAATGCAAGGCTCTTAGTTGTCATTCTTATCTTACTGAAGAATCTAAAAATGCCTGTCAATTGCTGCCTTATAAACACTGCTAGAATATAAATATTCAAAAACAAGCTGTATACTACTTTGTTAAAAAAAAAAAAAAGACCCAAAAGTATAGGCACACATAACCCCTCCATATATGATTGCCATAACATCACATTATCTTTTACTTTTTACCAAGCATATAAAAATGCTTTATATGAAGCAGATGACTTTTAAAACTTAGAGAAACCCCCTATCATCTTCTATGTGAGTTCCGTTGCTAACAAAAACTATTCAAATAATTTTTTCATTCAACTCAAAAAAGTGAGCTGTCAATTTCATTTCATTCTTCACTATTTCAAGTTGACTCATTTTTCTTTTGTACTTTTACTGGGGCTCCTGATCCCAGTGCATATGTCTTCTGTCACCAATCTTAATTCTCTCAAGTTCTTTCTGGATCTTTATTCTGAGCCTAAAAATATGCCTAAATCCCCCCTATCAAAAGCCATTAATATCTGTCCTCCAAAAATTTCCTGAAAGATGTTTTTGTCATTCCTTTTTATCATTTGATTCATTGCTTTTGTAAGATGGACTTATAGGAGGTCCACGGATGGACTTGGAAATAAACCAATTCCTCCAAAACTACATGCAAAGCTTTCTGCGTTAAGTGCTTTTTGTGTGGGAGATGATGGATGATCCAGGATGGAGCTTTTTGTTCTGCCATCTTGCTAACATCACTTTCTTCATGCTAGCTTTTATCTTGAGAAGGGTGATACTTGTCCAGTCCTGGAATATGTTAAGAGACACTGGAGTCTGAATATGAAAAGAAATTATTATCTAAAGGAATATTCTGTTGCTGTTTTGAATTACCTTTTAAATGATTTGAATAATTACTTAATCTTTCAGAAACTGTATTTGTAGTGCAGAGTTTCTCCCTCCACAGAACACTCTGATTAGTATACCTTAATAAAGCCATATAATTACTTTTCAAGATTTTATTTATTCATTTGAGAGAGAAACAGAGAGAGTACAAGGAGGGGGAGAGGCAGAGGGAGAGGAGGAAGAAGGCTGCCGGCTGAGCAGGGAGCCTGATGTGGGGCTCCAACCCAGGACTCTAGGATCATGACCTGAGCTGAAGACAGACACTTAACCGACTGAGCCACCCAGGTCCCCCAAGACATATGATATTTTTAAAACGGTATTATTTAAGGCTGAGGCTCCTACTTGAAATCAAGCACTAATTTCCATCTCTTTCCTCTCTGATTAAACGGAATCTAAGATACACTTCCCAGTATCATTTCTAGAAAATTGATATATAGCACGTCTGTGATAAGCTTTTCTGGTTTTGACTCACGTTTTTCCAGATTATATTGGAAAATCTTGTTTTCAAAATATCCATCAAATACTCAAATGCCTCACAGTACACTGAAGCATGAGAAAGCAAGTTATTTGTTGAAAATTACCTTTGTCTTGTAACAGTGAGACACTTTGAGGTTTCTTTATAGGTACGGTGGTATTTCTATGAAAAAGACATGGAAACAGTGATTATTCTTCCTACTTTTTCAAGATAGGAGGTGATTTCTTTGGGATCTGAGTTAATGTTTAACTTAGGAAATTTACTTTACTCCTTACCTATTTCTTGTTTATCATTTTTCATTTACCAAAGACCAGTCTTCTCAGTACTTAAGGTGTCAGAAGCTAGTAATCTAACATGCTTAGGAAAAAGGGAATTTTTATGTGGTGGCACAAAGATGAATGTGCGTGATAAAATGAAAACCAGAGTAAAGTTTATAACCTAAAACTTGATATATCCTATGATGAAAGTTTGCTCAGCACTAATGAACAGATGGAAGTGGAGCGCGTTAATAGGAAAAAAAAAAAAAGCCCCAGAGAAGTGGAACTGTGAGAAGAGAAAAAATAGTGTGTAAGTAAGGAATGCTTTGTCAGAAGCAAAAGATTATTCTGTGATATGGGAGAAAGATAATTTTGTTTGAGGGAAGGGAGAATGCACTGCCATTTTGTTTCTGCTTAGTCTAGTAACCAGCCTTCTGTTGAAAATAACTTAGTCTTTTTGCTAGGTTAACTATGTATCTCCAGGTAGAGGGAAATGAGCAGACAGAAAATGACAGGGGAATACAATTTTAAGATATTTTAGCTCAAATACTCTCAAATGCCAAAAGGAATTCAAAGCAAAGGAAAAGCTTACGAAGAAAAATTTAAGTAGAAAAATACACCCTCCTCCCCCTCCACTCCCATCTCGGAAAAAGAAGGGATTAATTGTATCTAGGCTTGCATACTTTCTTACCTGTGCTTTGGTCAAATCACTTAACCTCTTAGAGTCTCAGGTTTCTAATTCATTGAAGAAATGTCACAAAATATCTGTAACTTGCAGAGTCATATAGGGATAAATAGGGTCTTGATCCTGGGTCAAGATCAAGATCAAAATTCAAATGCCTACAGTACAACTGTTTTGTTGTGTCGTTGTTACTGTTTTTTTTTAATGCCCAAATCTCAGTAAAAATAAAAAAATCATAGGCATAGAGACAAATATGACTTTATCAAAGAAATAAAGCTCAGAAAGCAAACCCTGAAGAGTTCAATTTTAAACTTCCTGTTGAAACATTTTTTAAACTGAGACAATCCGAGGCTTACAGGACCTGAGAGAAGCAACGCTCCAAAGATACAAAGAGGAGAAAGATCCTTAGTGGGCAGGTGGGAGGACGTGTTTGGAAAACAAAGGTTGTCCTATTATGGAAATAAATTTCTTGCCTATAAAGAAGAATCTCCTTAAATGCTCTCTTCCTGGTATATAGGCAGGCAGTTGAGGGGGGGAGGTAAAGAGCTTTTCTGAATGTGCTGGGTTTTGATTGCTTTTAACTCAAAATATTGTTCATGCTAAAGTGTGCCATTGGGATGGCCTGCCCTTGGCCACTACAGGCAACTAAGGAAAATCAGAATATCAACAAAGAATTACAGTACATATAAAATCTAACAGATCCACACAAAGGCACATTATAATCACACTGTCAGACGAAAAGAAAATCTCAAAAGGGGAAAGAGAAAAATAACTCATCACAAACAAGGGAATCTATGTAAGATTATCAAAAATTTCTCAAGCAGAAACTTTATACAGCAGAACAAAGTGTGATGATATATTCAAAATGCTGAAAGAATGTTGTCAAATGCTTTCTGCTTCAATTGAGACTCAGGTGGGAAACAAAGGCAGAAGAAAAACTATTAAATTTCCTTGCTACCTAGAGCCCATTGACAAGTCCTTCAAACAGGCAGAGTGACCTTCCCCAAGAACTCAGCTGCCTCGTTGTTAACACTTTGCTAAGGGCCAAAGGCAACCTTAGCCTGGCCCCCAGGATCCTGTAAGTCTACTTTAACATATAAGCATTCCTTTGGAAACTTCCTTTATCTCTAACCCCCCCAAGATATGTGTTGGCAATCATCCCCCAAACATGTGGCCCACTGATATACATCTGAAGGGTCTCATGATTAAGGTTTTATTAGATGGTGATAAATGACCTGTTCCCAACAATAGCTAGCCTCCTCAAGGTCCTGGAAACCTTGCTTCCAAAATTCCTCAGAGACTGACGCTATCCCTAACCCCCTCCCAACTTGAAAGTATATAATGGACCACTCCTCATGACCCCGATGCAGCTCTTTCTGACCATGGGTCCTGTCCCTGTGCTTCAATAAAATCACCTTTTGCACCAAAGATGTGTCAAGAATTCTTTCTTGGCCATTGGCTTTGAACCCTAATGTTCCTCCTACATCATATGGCGCCCAACATGGGGCTTTGAATCCACAGTCTCATCTGGACTCTGAGCCTCGGTGCAAACTTGGTGAGTACTTTCTGTTCTCTTCCTTTATTCTCATTTCAGGGGCCCTTCAAGGAGAACAGTGTTATTGGAACACTTTCATGTTGACTGCTCAGGCTGTAATCCTCTAGCTCATGGCTACTGTACTGGAAGGAGAAAGCCTGCCTTTTGGCTGGCAGTTACTACCCTGGCCAGAATGGTAGTAAGACCCAGAAACTTGATCCCTCTCTATTCCTGTCCTTATACAAAGTTGTCGGTCTCGGGTACGAGACAGCTACCTAAGTTACCGGGATGGCTGCTAATCTTAAGACTCCCCTGTGAGGTTTCCTCCTGATTGATTTAATGTAATCCCCTTAATGTCCCTAGTCTAGCCGCTTCTGGCTGCTGGACCTCCACTGGGAGCTGGCTGAAACCAGTACCCAACTGAGTTAAAATCCAACTGTGGGCCATTTCCTAGGGAAGTTGGCTGTAAAGACTACATGTGTTGCAATGTCGCTTAGATCATGATGGATTTCTACCTTTACTCTTTTCTCTTTTTTTTAAATTTTATATTGTTATGTTAATCACCATACATTACATCATTAGTTTTTAAAGTAGTGTTCCATGATTCATTGTTTGTGCATAACACCCAGTGCTCCACGCAGAATGCGCCCTCTTTAATACCCATCACCAGGCTAACCCATCCCCCCACCCCCTCCCCTACCTTTACTCTTTTCTGT